AGATTAAATCGCCGGGCTGGAAACCAGGAGACCCTGGGTTCTAGTCCAGCTTTGGGCCAGCTGGGTGCCTTTGGGCCAGTCCCTCTTTCCCAGCCCTGGAAAGGATGCAACAGAAACCATTTCTGAAAAACATTGCCAGGAAAACTGCAGGGATTTATCAGGGCAATCTCCCAACAAGTAGACACAACCGAATGGAAGAGGAAAAAATGTAGGCCGTTCCTGCTACTGATCAACCAAGCAGAAAGAGAAATGTTTTTTTCTGTTGTTTTTTTAAAAATTTCGTACGGCATGGCAAAATGCAGCAGCACGGTGGAGAAAATTCACAGAAGCAACCTACAAAACGTGTATCAAAATACAAAACCCCAGAGCAGTGCATTGTCTTAAAAACACACAAGTACGAGTGAGGAATAAATTTAGGAATAAAATTATGTTTCTATAACTTCCATCCAGTCACTGAAGCAATAGGCGTGAGGTTAAATGGACTCCAGAAGATGGTAGAAGACAGGAAGGCCTGGAGGAACGTTGTCCATGGGGTCGCGACGGGTGGGACACGACTTCACAACTAACAACAACAACTTCCATCCTCCAGGTCCCACACCATACCTTGGTCGCCGCGCTTTTTGTTCTCTCCCATTCTTTGCAGTTCTTGTAATCCTTTTTCCACTGTGCGCACGACGGCGTCTCCCCGTAAGTGTAATAATGATGGTATAGATTACGGATGCTCCGACACAGTTTCCATTCAGACCAGTAATCTGCGCAGGCTCGGGGCGGCTGTCGGACACACACAGCACAAAAATACAGGACAGGCAGTCCTCGACTTAGTGACCGTTCAAAGTTACAACAGCGCTGCAAAAAGTGACTTAAGGACCCTTTTTCACACTTAAAGACGACCCTTGTAGTATCTTCCCTGTGGTCACCTCATCAAAATTCAGATGCTCAGCAATTGCCCCATATTTACGACGGTTGCAGCGTCCCCGGAGTCACACGATCCGCTTTTGCAACCTTATGACAAGCAAAGTCAATGGGGAGGCCAGATTCGCTTAACGACCAGGTTACTAACTGAACAACTGCAGCAATTTTTACTTTAACAACCGGAGCCAGAAATGTTGTAAAACGGAGCAAACTCACTTAACAAATGTTTCACTTACAAATTTTGGGTCAGTTGTGGTCGTTAAGTTGAGGACTCCCTGTACAAGCAGCTGTTTGTCGGCTTCGTTTGCAATTGTGCTGAAAGACCCACAAATCTGAGATTCACCCAGATCAGAAGAAATCAGCAGGACCCACAAAGCAGATCCTGCAACGTGCATATGGCTTTCCTTAATTTCAATTTTTACCCTTTTAGATCGCACTTGCTGGTCTCATCCGATGCTTATTTTTTTTCTAGGTGGTTAAGCTTTCCTGCTTTATTTATTGTCATTTGTTTGATTGCTGTGAGCCATCCAGAGTGGATTCAGAGTCAGGCGGCGTACAATTTTGACCCACTATTTATAAATATATTAATTACGATACACCTAGCACGCTAGTATCCCAACAGCAAATCAGTATTATGTTACAGAACATGTTATACCTATTTCAATACGTCATATACATTTAATTAATAGGTATATTACATGCAATATGTAACATACGTACTAATATAATATTTTTTTTTTATTTATTTATTTATTTAACAGGATTTATATGCCGCCCTTCTCCCCATGGGACTCAGGGCGGCTCACAGCGTATTAAAACATCATACAAAAAATTTCCCCTACTAAAAACCAATTAAAACCCAAATATTGGTAGCTGTGGCTCTTTAAAATCGTTAAAAATTGTCCCTATTTAAAACTCACCCTAGGTCAGGCCC